AAAGTTGGTAGACAGTAATTGACGTCAATGTTTATGTCCCCAATATTGGTGGTGAGAAAATGAGAACAAAGGCTTTGCGTAAGCGGATACAGTAAGCATATGGATGATCTGACACAGCCACAAAGATATGCAAGGTTAACTTTCTGCGAGAAACAACCAATCAAAAGACTGTATTTTCTACTAACAATAATCTACAATAATGTACATTAAAATCTATAAATATGTGTTGATTTTCCTTAATAAACGATCTGTTGCCTGGCCCTTGTCTTCTGTTGTTACAACTATCCTCAGGACCCTGAACCCACCATTTTAAACCCTGAAATCTCATCCACTGGCAAGAGTATTGGTCGCTGTTTGCTGAAAATGAAGATTCTTAGTGTTTTCATTGGATGGAAACTATCAGTTTCTACATTTGATTTAGTTGCTTTCCAGGAGCTGCTTGGTTTAATTGAGAAGCTTTCTACCTTCATATAGCCTTCTTGGAGAGACACAACGAAGCTGTAAACGAAATTAACTTAATGTTATTTGATAAACCACTGGTTCTGACAGCCAATATTATGACAGAGGCCGATCATTTCCATCTAGTAAAATGAATAATAGGACACCATGGGTTCCAGTGAATAGTATTCATTTTTGTTGCTGTTGTGAAACTCATTGTCTGTGAAACATTGTGCGGTTACTGTGATTGCTCATGATCCCTTATTTAAATTTAAAATGAATTTTTTCACCTCTACATATCAATTAGATGTCATAAGTGTACCTCAAACCCTATGCGGTAAACCTATTTTTACCATAATGTGCATTTTTTTATTCCTTCACGTTCCCAGTGGAACATAGGGCTTCAGGCTAGTGGCTTGAAGTTTCTGTAGCAGTGTTTATTTTTACAGGATTGAGTTGCTAGCCTCATGCCCAATCTTCCCTCTTTACCAGCTTTATTTCTAGTTTAGCGAGGTTAAGGAGTGCGTCGGCCGGGGATCGAACATCAGGCCATGTGCATGGTAGGTGAGCGTCCTAACCACTGTGCCACCGACGCACAATGTGCATATTAATCACTTTTTTTATAAACAGTCGAAACTCTTGGTGAGAGTGATTATGACCTTCTTTCTTCTCTGCGGTCCTCTTCGACTGACCCCACGACTGCTCATAAATTCTCATCTCCTCACAAGATCTCCTCCATGTCACCCTTAGGCTAACATCCAACTTATCATTTCCCATTCGGGTTCCACTCTAGGGCCTGCCACGCTATATCACTCAATGGTCTTCTCAGCATGTGTTCTATCAACCTTGATTTCCTCCACCATACTTGTTGGGCAGCAGGCAGTTGGTTGGTTTATTCTCAGAGTTTCTTGTCGTCAGTCCTTCCCAGTTAGCCATCTGGCCTTTATTATGGAGAGTAGGCAGCTGTTGATGGATGTCTGAAATCAGTTTAAAATGCTATTCCTGATGTACCAAGTCTTTGTTCCACACACAAGAACCAGCTTGATATTACTGTCGAAAATCTTATTCTTAATGCGGAGTGCAACTGATTTCCACGCTAATTTAAGACAAATGAATGTCTGTCTTGCCTTTTCAATCGTTATTTTGACATCTTTATCCTTGTCGCCTGTAGTTCAAAAGATTCTGTCTTGAAAAGTGAAGGAAGAGACCTCTCTGGAATTTCTTCTGTTGATAATGCTTGGTGCTTGTTGTTATCGTTGGCTGGCTACCTTCATCACCTGTGTCTTCTCTGTGATCATTTGAAGTCCTGTCTTCTCTGCTTCTTCTGTCAGTTTGTTGGTTTTCGCCAGTAAGTATTCGAGTTTGTGCGACAAACATAAGTCGTCGGTAAAATCTAGATCTTCTAAGGTCTTCCTGTTGGTCCAGCCAATTCTTCCGTCCTCGCTCCCGAAGGTCAGTCGCATAGTCCACTCTACTACAATCAGGAATATCATCGGTGATAGTAGGCAGCCCTGTATTATCCCTGTCTTCACTTCGAAGGCTTCTCCTAGTCTTAATTAATTTTACCAAGACACAAAATACAAACTGAAATATATATGAATCTTCTAGGTAATGTACAGACTATTCTACTGCGACAAATTAAATCAGCGGAACTTTTATAAAATGAGGGTTAAACTGACCAAGTCTATTATAAAAACGGAACACTTATTTGGATGATAAAATAATAATTCTTATGCTATTATTCCATGAGTGTTTCCACGCTGAAACATAACATTTTTTTGACTTCATATCATCTAATTTAAATCACTAAAGGTAGGCTTGAACAGATCTTTAAGTAGTCTCGAGTTATAGCTAAGAAGTCGACACAAGAAATGAAAAAAGAAAAAGAAAGCATCACTACTAAATAATTGTCTCATGCAATTCATTTTTCAGGCCATAAAATCTCGCTGAGTAAGAAAATATAGATATGAAAGTAGTGACTTTAACATAATTTATAAAGAAATTTGAGACCTCACTAGTGTGACCGAGTTTGAAGCCTTAATTGGGATTCCTATTAAGGTGGGAATCAGTCTGGCATTCAAAACCCCAAAGCTAGTCATGGCAACATGTTCAGTGGGCTCTTTGCTTTTAATAATCAGAATATACAAAATAAACTAGATTATTAAATACCTTAGAATAACTGTAAGGTTAAGAGAATAGGTCAGGCCAATCACTTGTCTTGTCAAAACATCGGAGCTTAGCTAAGAAGAGAAAATCAAGCTAAGTTGGTACAGAGGTTTATCACTGAATCACTGTCCATCGAATTAATACCTAAGACATGCAACTGGAAATGATGCCAGCCGAATATCGGGAACATGAAAAATTTTCACCAATAGAACCAAAGGAAAAGAAGTTATAAAATCATTCAAACGAAGTTGGAAAGTTGCCAGAAAATGCTGATATGTCTGTAAACAGTAAATTATACTGAAAAAGACATCAGCAAATAAAATTACAGACAAAATTATTTACTTGTGGAGTTATGAATTACTGCTGCACCTAATTTCCTTTTTGAACCCAGACTCTTAAAAAAGTTACATGACTCTGCCGACTGCATTCAAGTTTGTCTTTCGACTTAGCATAAATGCGAAGCTTTTAGGGATATAACGACGCACAGCAGTCGTTTTGTATGAGATGATTTACTTAGCCAATGTTACTAAACATTCACTAATTAGAAAGGAAGTTGGAACAGGACAGAATTTTTATGACATAGTTTTAGAAATGCTTCCTAACGAGATTTTTGATGATTTAATTTATTCTCTACAAAACTTCAGCTCTTGAAAATACGCCTCAGCAGCAATTACTAAATAATTCTACTATCAGCTTTTTACAATAACCAGAAGTTTTAGGATTATCGCACTAGCCTTTAATTTCAGTGTACACAAATTGACATTTATTAGAAAACCACTGGAAAATGTGAAGTGATAGATTTTTGCTCTCAGTCCTAAACTCGCTAACCACGTGAGACAACTAACTTATGTAAGACTAACTCCAGACTTTTCGTGAGCACACCGTTATTTAGTTACTAAGCTAAAAGTTATTACACATATTTCCGAAATGCTGAATAAACACGACATCTTTAAATGCCTCTAATGTGTCTTCTTATGGCACACTGTAACGATCTCATGAGATACATTTAAGATCCCGAGATACTTACTTAACTAAGGGGTTGACTGATTTGAAAGAAGATAGTTCTAACAGAAAGCGGTAACTGGTGAACTCAACCAGTTTAGCTGCACTTGACGCTTACTGCTGTATGATGTCAGTTCACAAAAGTTGGAAGGTTTGAATCATAAGACTGCTACCAAGTGGTTAACTTTCAAGCTTCTCTACAAGAGAGTTGATGCTTATTTGACCGGCGTTGAGAAGGTGCTAATAAAGATGGTAAAACCAAGTTGAAGTGAAAAGTTTCCAGGCTTAAATTAGTTGAAAACTTAGATCGAGAAGTATTTAAGCTTTGGTCACAGGTCGAATTACACAATAATACTTATAAAACGCAAGGAAATTTGTGATAATTAACACTTTCTGGTATATATATAAGGCTAATTTATAAACCACCCCCAAAATTAATCCATAGTCCTTCACTGTAATTGTGACCAGATGATAGGTTTGAATTAATAAACCAATCACACAACATTGAGAAGTAAAATAAAATAAGAAATTACAACTTATATCACACAAATTATTGAGTTGATTCATTTACAAAAGACAAATAAATTAATGAAACAGATGCTTCGAAATTGTCTAAAGCGTCTGTGCCTTTTTTATTTCATTTCCGTAAGTTTCAGCCACATAATACACACATTTTCCTAGACATTTTGATTTTGGGATAAGAGCAATTTATTTTCACAAGGCAAATGTAGTACACTCGCTAGATACAGGCTAATGAAGGCAGTAAATACTTACAGAAATCATTGTGTTTCTACAAATCGCATTTGTCATTTACGGAATCCAAATTATAGAACCATTTTATCTTTATTCAACATTTCATGTGGAACATAGGACTTTAGGCATTAGCTTTGAATTTTCAGTAGCAGTGATCCTACGCCCAACCTTCCCCATTTTATCAGGCTTACTAAAAACTATGAGAGGTTTAGAAATGCATTGGCCGAGAGTTGAATCCTCATCGTTTGCATCGCTGGTGAGGATTCTACCACCAAACCAGCGATGTACAACTGTAGAAGTCAGGACTTTTTAAACTGGATGTCTGCTTCTGATTGATAAAATCCGTAACATGCATTTAAAAATCTTATGCTACAATGAGTAAATACTCAGCCTAATTGATTTTTACACTGTGGTTTGAATTAGTCGCCAGGACAGAGTACATATGCATTTAGTTCTAAATTGTCTACAAAACTTTTCTAGTGACAACTAAATATTTTGTATGCACATTCGTTTCAGTGTGGCATGCCTTTACTAACGGATGGTAACTTGAGACTACTTTGAAAATAAAACCTGCCGAATTCAAAAATAAGTAAAAACCAATAAGGCACCTTTATAGTATTCACTTTTAATCTTTTTTTCAGTTCATAACATACACCAAGGCAGAATCTGAGTAAGTTCAACTTTATCCCAACTTTTAGACCTATTTCTTGTTTAAATATTCTAACAATAATAATCTTATAATTTGATAGGATAACAAAGTCAGGTATAAACTGTGTGCTTTGCAATGCAAGACTGAGCAGATATCGATCAAATAAACTGTGAAATCCAAATGGTCTTGAGTAAGGAACAGCATCAGATACAGAAGAAAAAACTGGAAACCAATGAGTACTAAGATGTAATTAGGCTGACTACTTGAAGCACCATTACCTGTTTCTGAAACTACTGGCTAAACATTATTCCACTTCTAGATGGACCTGACATTTCTGACTTCTGTGGAATGAGAAAGAGAGTATGTATTCCTAGAGAAATGCTTCTTAACAGAAAACAGATGCTTGATACTTCTTGATTTCTAGTGTTTCGTTATATGACGTTGATTTATGTTATTAAGTAACCTGAAGTTAATTAGTTTCACGTAAAAATTAAGACTTTTTTCCGAAAGGAAGAATGTAGCACAAAAAGCTGATCCGTCTATGTATAATTTTTCTCACTTTATCTAGGTTGGCAATGAAAAGTACCGATCTGAGATATCAATAGTTTATTTACAATACGGACACCAGAGAATAAAGAGATAAATTATGGAGGTTCAGCTCTCTTGTTAAATCAGTAACCTCATGAATTTTGTAACGAGACTCTAAATGACTGCTTCCCGATTTGAATATTCGTGGAAAAATAAAATTAGTATCTATCATTGTGTAGTGCACAAATCCGGACATATGTAGGGGCTGTCTAACGAGCTCAATAACATAACAAGTATGTGGATAAAAATCCAAGTTAATGAGAGGATAGTATAACAGTATAATATAAAAAATACAGTAATGAGTTATATTAACTAAACGGTTACTTGGATATACATTTAAAGTCCACGGCTACAAACTATTAATATAATCCACCGAAGCGTTCACTGCTGGAATCATGTCTACTGGTAGAATCTGTGTACCGGTTGTAGAATTGTCCCCGGATGAGGATAAGAGGTTCCTGCAAAAATCCAAAGTATACAACACGGTTATGAGTGTAGCAAGTAGACAGTATAAACCATCGAGAAGAAAAGACGACCAACAGTACACTGTATTTTAGATTGTACTCAGAAGTTATCTATACTCCAACATGAATCTTTTTAAACAAAAGTCATGTATAATGTCTCTAATTCCAGCATTTAACGAAAATGTGTACAATCATATTGTTACGTACTCCACACATAGTTTATTATTGGGTGGTTATAAAACGGAACGTTATTACCAAGCCACTGGGTCAGTCAGAATCTGATAAATTACGGCTTCTGCTGAATAACGCTACGCTTTGTTGAAGCCAACCTATAGGATTAAAATTAGTGAGCACTACGAGTAAAATCTAAACTAACTTTGTTTCGGAGTTGAGTGTGATGATGTGGAGATTAGTGGTAAAGTTGAAAATTTCCGATAAAATTTACTTCCAGTAGATTGAAAATGGCAATCGTGGTAATTTTAGTCTAGGGTGTGAGATATTGGGTGCTAATTTGATGTCTCAGTTAATTATCGCTACTCACAAGGATTCTGTTAAAGAGAACGAACAAATCTGGATTAGGAAGAAACACGCCTCTTAGACTTCATTGCTCGCTATCACCAATCAAATAACATCAAGTTAAAATCACTGCATCATCGAGGCGTTGTATTCGAGACAGTGGGATCCAGAGAGATTGATCAAGCGTTGAACAAAGTTTTTGAATGACCGTCTCTCAATACATAACACTTAACAAAGGTGGAAAATCCTTGTGAGGTATTCGTTCATTTCAAAGTCTTTTTAAAACACTGCCTTACCAATAAAATATAATCAAAGCCTCATTATATTAATCATCAGTCCACTTTAAACAAATTTATATTGCTTGTTTTCTTTATAGATTTGGAAAAGAACGTGTTTTCTTCCACTTTTTAATTGGTAATGGGTCATATTACACACCAAGAATTTACCCACAATATTTGATGGATGCCCATAGGCTACATAAAGCAATTATCAAAGAAAGTAAGAGTTTTGATAACTGTTTAGATCGATTTTACATATGTCACGATATCCTTCGTTATCCTGATTATTAATATGAGTAAAATTGTCAGCAGTTACTTAAGAAAAAGTCACTTATTTGAATTCGTGACCATGTTTGTTGTTGGAATAAAAATACTGTGTTGGCTTTATTCCTTGAGTAGATCTGTTGAAGGTCAGTGTTTAATATTCTAAGTGTTGCAGTTTATCTATAAACTCATCAACTATTACGACGACTAGGCCTAGAGGGAGTCGGAATATCTTTTTGACTGAGCGAGGGTTAACCAGTGATTAGAGATAGAGAAGCTTACATGGAGATTATTCAGAACATGCCTGTTGTTTCATGAAAACAGTATGATGTTCTACAACAAACATGATTCTCTCCACTGTTCTTGATAATAAATCAGTAGATTTATCTCTAAAATTAGCATTTAAACTGGCATATTCACGTTGTACCAAATGTATTCATGATTAAAAATATTTCAACTTAGTTTGGTTTCAACTGCTTAATAGTTATGCGGTAGAATATTCATTCAAAGAAACCCTTTCTTTTTCAAACGCCGCCGTTAATGATTTCTTCAAAAACTCGGTCGAAGCATTCGTCCATAATTTCACCACTGTTTAGCTGAAAATAACACCCAACGAGGTATCAAAACATCTTAAGAAATAGCTTAGATATTACAACAAACTTATCTATTTCATGTGAAATCTTAAACGTTATAGAATTAGTAATATGAATAATTGATAATAGGAATGTCAGACATCTCCAAATGCTTTCTATAATAAACATTTCTCAGATATTGAATAAAACACACTCTTCATTATTATTTGCCAGATTGAGTGAAAAGTAAACCGATATTGCTTTTACTGACGTTTCACTATTTAAGGCTAGTAGCTTTACCAGAGTATTAATAAACCAAAATTTACAAAATCATTGTTCATCATCATGAGGTAATTTCTAAGTTGTCAAATTCGCCAATTGGTAAAAATTGCAAAATCAGGTGTAGATTGTATGATTCGATAAGTGTATAAAATTATAAAGCAGCATGTGTTTACACAATGAAACCGCTAATCACATTTGTATTAATTTTGTCACTTCATAGGGGATGTGGTGTTGCAATCGGGTCAAATTCTGCTTTAGTCCATAATTCCTAATCAGTAAACATGACTTTCATTTGATATGGAGGGTTTCTGATATAAGACGTTCATTGTAATTCCCAAAATATTTTTTGGATTGTCTTAATATTGTGAAAATCAATTATATGGCCTGATTCTATGACGTGTGGACATATGGTTGATAATTCAGTTGTTATACATACGATTAAATTTGGTAAATTCTGGTTTAATTATACTTTGATAACACTACTAGCATTAAATAGCGAAAAATCAGTAAAAACAATATCGCTTTGTTTTTCATTCATTGGGAAATACAAAACATTTGTATTATAATGAATGTTATATACCCAATGCCCAAATTTTTTCATACTGTTGAAAGTGAACTTGATTTGGGCATATATAACTTAATAGTCATTCAGTTAATAACCAGTTATTCAAACAACTTAAACAGAACTAGAGAGTCAATAATAAGCAAGTCTGATAAGGTGGAGATATAGTGTTAATACATAAAAGTGATTACGTGGACAAGGAATCTATTTTGGATAGTCAAACTAAATTCCAATCTTCATGAATAAATTAGAATAAAGCAAGAACGACAGTTTTACCAGGATAATCTCAGCTCATCTTTTATAATTTCGTGGATTCTTCTCAACTGGTTACAACCTGAACAATACCAAAATTATAAATTGAACATCTGAACGCACTTTTTTCCAGTGATAAGGAGTAATTGATTGGGAATAAGAGTAACATTGGTCAAGTATGATTTAAATTGTTAAATAATTAAGAGTGAAAAGGAGTGACTATTTACAGAAGATCCGAAGTCAATCAACATTGACATTAAGCATGGTCGAAAACGCATTCCGAAAACATGGACCTCGACAATCGTCATTCCATATAGAGCAGAGACGTCAAATGATATCAGAAGAGTACTCAATCAGCTCGACGTTAGAGTTTTCTTCAAAACATCAGACACTGCGAAACAACTTTGTCCATGTAAAAAAAATCCCTAAAAATTCTCTATCTAATTGTGTCTATAAAAAAGTGCTTGGAATGTGATGCGATATATATAGGACAGACATCGCGAGAAATCAAAATCAGAAGAAACTAACACCGTAGAGCATTTGTTTGACCACCGTGAAATCCAGTTAAACTAGAAAAGCTTGAAAAATCATCAGCCATAGGTCTACACGCTATAGAATCAGGCCAAGAAATTGATTTTGACAATATTGAAATAATCCAGAAAAATTTCAGAAATCATAAAGAACGTCTGATATCAGGAGCACCTCATATCAAATGGAATGCAAACCGTCTGAATCAGAATGATAGACTGAAACAGAATTTGATCTGGTTGCAGCACTTCCCTTCCCCATGAAATGACAAAATCAACACGAATATGATAAGCAATTTCATTATGTAAACACACGTTGCTTTTATCATTTTATACACTTATCAAATCCAACAATCTACACCTCGTCATGTTATCTTCACCAGTTGGCCAATTTGACAACGACAAATGACCCGATACTGAGGAACGATGATTAAGTTGTTATAGACGTGCTAAGATTTTGTAAATTCTGGTTTAATAATACTTTGATAAAGCTATTAGCAATAAACAGTGAAATGTCAGTAAAAACAATATCGTTTTGTTTTTCATTCATTGGGAAACACAAAAACGTTCAAAATGATGAACATCACGAGCCCATTGCCAAGTTTTGTCAAATTGTTAGAAGTGAATTTAGTTTGTACATATATAAAAAACACTGTTCTACAAAGAACGGACGTGTTTTGACTGGATGTCAGTTGAAATCATATGACTTTAAGTGATATATAATTGATTAGGGGTACAGATTGACATCTATGCAAAAGTATTCAACAATGGCTTCAAGTTAACCAAACTAACCTGTAAAACACTTTCTTGGAAATTAATTTCTCATATTTTGGATAGTCTAGTTTATTTATGGTGTGCATAACTTTGATCGGTATCTGCCACAGACAAAAATAATATCATTTACTAAGATTCAAGAATACTGAACTGATGCTTCGAAAAAAAGACGAAGTTTGCATCCTAGATCTCACTGTCAGATATCATCACATCTTTTGCATTCCTACCAATTTTTAATTATAAATATATATTCATTACCTTTCTCGTTTTGTTTCTTTGATAGATGCTGATACCATCATATGTATTCTGGGCAGACGAACAAATTATGAAAGACAAGAAATCAAAGATTATTATAAACAATTTTATGTCCAAGTGAGTAATGAGTTCTGCTAATTTAATAACCATAGATTGTTTTACTTTAGTAGTTTATGCTGTGAGTAGTAAATTGTTGAGTAACTATCCCAAATTAGCGGAAATCTCCCACTTATTTGATGCACTGAACCTACATTATCATCTCTAAAAGCCTGAACATGAAGTAATATCAGCAGATTTGATTAAAGGATTTTGCATTACAGGTTAATTATAAGTGCGGACCATCACTTTTTTCTAGAAGGAAATTGAATAGTTATCTACAACTGTGAAGTTTCTAAAGTGTTCCTTGTCTGTTAATATTTCGTAACGAAAATTGCTTTTAGATTGGTTGTCTTCAAATAAATCTCATTATGAGAAACTGCTTTCACGATGGGTATTCGTAAACTCATATAGATCAGTGAGTCAAGACTTGAATGCACATCCACTGACGAAGGCAGAAGCCTTGAAGGCCATAAGGTTACTAAAGGCCAGTAAGGAAGGCAACAGGACCGGATGGCATTTTGTTCGAAGCACTGAACACGGAGCCAGAGAACTCAATCGATTTCCTCACGAAACTAGTGCAGATTGTGTGGAAGGAACGAAAGGCACCTACAGGCGAATTAGGTCTTTGCAAGAACTGTGGTAGAACAATTCGCCTGGCCATTCAAAGAAAGACATTGAGCTGCATCATCCTAAGGAGACTAAATTATACCATAAATAGAAATCCACCTAGGTCCGAGTAGATTCAGGTGAAACAAGTCTAGAGTGGACCTAATTTCAACACTACTCATCATGATCGAACAGAGCCTAGAATTGCAGTCAACTCCCTAACTCAGCCTCATTTAATCTGAAAATGACTTCGATTGCATTGACTATGGAGCAACCTGACGACTATTTCAACATCACAGAGTATCCGAGTCTTCATAAACCACATTCAGCAGCTATATGATGATCTCACATGCTTGATGATTCACGATCGAAAACCCAACGAAGCCTTTAAAGTAAAGATAGCAGTAAGATAAAGTTGCCTACCATCACCGTTGAAATGAATCATGTTGCTCATGTAATAAATAATTATCTTTGCTACTACTAGAGTGGCCAAACAAAATCAGGGTAATTTGTCAGTTGTTTTAACCGTTATACTTATTATATTGTTACTCTGCTTGTAACACCGCAGTATTTTTTTACAATTAATTATTTGTTTCAAAATAGACTCTCCAGCTATCAGAAAACCTTTTTGATGATGTGAAGTTGAAATAGTACAAAATTGATTATTGAGGGATCTAAATGATTTCAGAAATTTAAACAATCTTTGCCCTTCTAGTTAGCTTCAAAATTAAATGTTAGTCATCTTTTCAGAATGCCGCCTTTTTAGTGATTGTGAGTGATTCACCAATGTCAATGAGCCTGTCTAATTTAGTTTTAACCTTCATAAAAGTTCCCCCCAAAAAGATCACCTACTCTACCTTTGCCATTCACTATAATTACGACTGAAATCTAAACACTTGATCAAGTAACCTATGTAATGATGTTTAACAGACTGTTAAGTATCACGTACTTATTTGAAAAGTAGGAAAAGCCCTTGATGATTGGAATGAAGTAGAATTTAGAATGATGTAGGTTTCCTATATCTTGCATGGCAAAGGAGTGACCGGGAATGTTTTGAGACAGTGATACAAGTTATCCTGTTACGCCAGCACTCTCAGTTAAATGTAAATACGGTATAATTAGTACGATTGTAATTAACTAAGGCTGCAGATATGATCAACCCTCATTAATTCCCTTCTTCTTCAACGTGAGTAATAGAAACCCGACACTCTAGTCTGTTAATCTGATTAGCCAAAAAGTGATAGTACATTGACACATTTAGCCTTTGGGGCAAAACATTTGGATCTATTGAGACTGAATATTTAACACAGACTCCTATGCAATTATATTTCTGACAGTTGTCAGATTGAATAAGACTGATATACTCCAAAAGGTTAGAAGTAATTTTCAATAGTTGTGAAGTGAAGGCCAACATGATTGATGTTAACAGAATAACCGATGTCACGGCGAATCGTTCTTGGTGCCAGGCAAGTTTTATTTATTTATGCTGAGGTCTATAAAACATGACACTGGTTGTCTTTTAATAATAAACTAAGCTATCTGATACCTGAACATAAGTTATGCCCAAAATAGCTGTCTTATAAATATTCTGAATTCATTATTTAGTGATGTAATGTCGTAGCCTTGAAGGGGTCAATTATTTCACCGAGGTTGGAATGAATGCTTAATATTTGGGTCCCAAAAGATTTAAAACCATTTTATTTTGCAGCTGTGTATAAAGTCTCCTAATATTAAAAACTGAGATTCTCTAAGTTTCCTTTCAGAAAAGTTTATTTGGTATAACTAAAAGTGAGCAATAAACTACGATGTTCTGCTTTTTGCACACACTTTGAAAGGATTCTAAACCGCTAATAATTTTCACTTTTCAGACACTTGAACAGCGTATGCATCGATTGTCCGATGAAAATTTCCGAAATCTTGTTTTAAGTCTCCTCAAAGACTTACCGATTTATTTAGCTGAATTACTTCGTGATGGATTATACTCTGATAAATTTTCTACTGTTACTTATACATCGATTGGTTTATGGACTGAAGAAGCGTTCAAAGTTAAGGAGATTTATGCTAAGGGTAAGTGAACAGATTTAATTTTTGTATTTCTGACCAGACGTTTAAGTTAACATACATCCTGATCTTCGGCAAGTTGACACTGGATAACAAACATCACAGTCGACTTAAGAAAACCGAAGAAGACACAGTACCTTACTTCGTGATATTGTTTTGTATCCTGATTATCAAAATGAGAATAGATAGCATACTGTATAATATTATTCGGCAACAACATTAAGCTTCACAGTCATAAGTATTGAAGAAAAATGAGCAGCATCAGAGAGTAGGACAGGACGTGAATAAAAGTGAAGTAGGAAATGCTTGAATGAAGAACAGAAATTTTATTGGCGCAAATGAGATGAGAACCAAATGTGTGCAGTAGTAAGTACGTTCAGTGTTAGGTAGTTAAACAAAATGCACAGGAAGCCTTAGATCTGGGTCCCACACTTGCTAGAACAAATGTTTGTGGCGTAACCGCAATCCCTCCATAGATTTTAACCCCCCTTCAGGGAATTCATCCTAGAAACAGATCAAAGTGTGCTAATCAGATGAACATCATTTCGTATATCTACAATAGTATCTTCAAAATCTACGTCAAGGAGAAGGTTCCCAGTCAGAATCTTCATTAAAATATCAAAAGAATAAAAAGATAGGCTAACTGAATGAATAAAAATGTTTTGTACAATTTCACTGGTTTCAACTTTTAGGTAAGAACAAATTCAGCAGAAAAATTAGTAAACACCTGTGTAAACTAAACTGAGAACTGGTTAAATCATTTCGGCGGTCATTTGAGTAATTCATTAAAACAATTGCGTACAAGATTTGCATGCAGTGTGTTACCTAAATGACTAGCTCCACAACTCACAGAAGTGGGATGTCTTGTGATGATGCTTTGGTTGATTTTGAAGTAGTTTTCATAGTAAACCGTCATAAGGTAGATAATCATTTAAAAGTAAATTGCGAAGATAGGTAACTTGTTTTGATTTAATCTTTCACAAATATGTATTCCTTGAGAAACTGAAGATATTACGTAAGCATGATGTGAGAGTGTGAAAGGTTGGAATAATGTTGCTACTGCCATTACTACTACTCATCTAAGTACCAGCAGTTTAAATTGCACTATCAATGTCACTAGTTCCATAAACGGTTTTAGATAAATATTTCGGTTAAAATGATCCCGAATGCATCTGATTCCTAATTTTGGGGGAAATAAAGAAGTACACCTTCAAGAAGTTATTGCAGACTATAACAAACTCATGTATAGATCTTAATTATGTTCTATTTTGACTAGACGACTCAGCATAGTATTTAGTTATATAACAGACTTATCCCTTGTCATTTTGATATACAGACGACGGAAATAACTTGATAATAGAAGGTAAAATTTGTAATGAATACCAACCAGAAAAACACTTAATACCAAAATGAACTGGAAGGGGATTTATCTATGGTAGTAAGCGATAGGGAGACATGGATAAACGAAATCATAAACTGGCCTCTATAAAGCCCTTTAACATCTAATTTCCATATACGGATTAATAACCACAAGTTTCTAAACTTCTGTCAATTCATAATTCAGTGTGACCTGCGAAAACAACAATTTATTGAAATATTCCGCTAGAAATGTCCTTTTTACATGGTAAGGTGCATAAATGTCACCTCATTAAACATTAAGATGTAGTAAAGAAGACACATGCACTCATGGATGGAGTTGGCCTTGTATTGGTGAAAAAACACACTGTACATCTGTTCCTACAATGTCTTTAAATATCATCCATTTAGATCTCATTTGAATAGTGACCAGGTTATTAATAATTTCAATGTATTCAGCTACTCAGTCATCCTATTCATTAATTTATTTTCAGTCAATCAAAGTGATTTACTGAAAGACATTACAGAAACAACATGTGGAGAATACCAGAATGGACTAAAATGCTTATTCACATTAAATCGTGAAAACACACCAATCCAACGCAAAACTCAGGATGATAAAGTTCGTTGGACCCCTGCTGTCTATCCAGAATCAGCTACGAAAGATGCCAAGATTTTATATGAGTCTCTTCACAGGTGATGTGTGCATTATGTTTATTTCTTTATAAAATGGAGACAACTTTTTTGGTTAAAAGTGGAAAATTAAACTCACTGCTTTCATGTTAAATAAGTTGTATGAATGAATACCATCAGTATGTAAGTTGTTAGTGGAGTGAGATTTTCCAGACAGAACCAAAGCCAGATATTGTCTGCCACTGACTGATAAGAGTAATCGTAAACTACTGACGTAGAACAGTGAGAATCCATGATGAAACGACGGTGATACCCTGTGTTTGTTGTTAATATATACATACGTATATATGCTTAGAACAACCACTGTGAATGCATACCTGACTTCGAATCGTTTCTGAGGTACCTCGACTGAATTTCTCGTCTGTCAGATGCATTATCTGTCCATTTACCAGTTTTTGAGATGAGTTTATGGCATGCTGTTGGCAATGTTGTCCCTCACTAACAGAGATATATATATATATATTGTATGAAACTGAATGTTATTCAGATTCCTTGAAGCTGTCAGAGGTGAAAGAGATTAAAAATACTTATTGAAGCCCTCGTGATGCTCATCATAAACTAATCTATTAAACACAACCTTCAGCAACAGAACTGATACTGTCATCTTGCTGGAAATGGTTTTTGCCCCGTGAAAGCCGTTTAGAATTCATAGTTCATTGAATTTCTTCTCAGTTACTGAGAGATCGACGGGCTTATCTAGTAAAATGAAGATATCAGGTTCAATCCCTGGCAGTTGCGTCATGGATGCATACTGATGAAGAGCCCAAAACCAGGACGAAACAGTTTCCCAGTACCGCCTGATTTTCGTTATCTCTCCAGCTGATGTCAGGTTGTGATCTGACTTAAAATCATCAGTGTCAAATTGTTCTCACACACTTCATGTCAACTTGTATATCTCAGCATTGCAATGAAAGAAACACAACAATTTATTGCTGTGTTTAAGATACAATGCGTTTTCTTGAAGCAGATGAATAACCTAAGCGAATTTTATCAAACTACTATGAATCTTGCCTCACCTAGATTAATAGACAAATGATGGATATTACCACATCTCTTGACCATTACTTTGGATGAACATTCGCTAAGTAGCTGCCATAATCCACCAACCAATTAGTAATAAGAAAAAACTGGCTATCGACTAAAATTCTTTTTACTCATTATCAGTTCTTAGATAAAATGGTAAGTATAAGATGTGTAGTTGGACGCTTTATTGGTTAACTATGCTGATTATACATTGTATGTAGAAAGCTTTCGTTACGGATTTTACTGAAACAACCTAATTCCTCACTTTAGCAGATACGCGTAACAAATAGTTACTTCAACTTTGATCATGAGAAGACCTCAGTTAGAGATTCATTGGAAAGCATGCAGTGCTGGACATCTGTTTCGTCCTTGTTTGAGACTCTTCATCACGGAGCACCCATGACTTCTGCTGAGATCGAACAGTTATTTCGTTCACATATTATTTATTTGAGGTCACACGTTCCTTCCCATCCACTATTTATCTGTATTCCAGTGGCCATCGCTCTGACAATTCAAATGATAGGTGAAGTTTTTCAATTTACCCACTGACTAGGCTTCAGTAGACAAAGACGTATAGATTCCGCTATCGGTCAACAGTAATTTAACATAATCGCGTCTGAAATAGTTTATTTCTTTCATTTGACATTTCATAATAGGCCTGAATGTCTTTGTGGTGGAAATACAACAGATATATTTTGTGAGGCGACACCTTTTCAGCTGAATCTAACAGCTGCAATTTATAAGAAGGTGGGTTTAATTTTCCCAAAGCTTTGCATCAGTTAAATTTATGCATCTTTTAAATCTCTAAATGTTAAAATCCAGACTGCTGAAAATTAAAAACGACACACAGCTTGTTTAGTCACACTAACTACACCAGATAACGATTGCATACGATAAACAGGCGAATAATAGTAAACAGACGACTTTGTTTGTGAATGAAGAAATCCAGAGAAATTCGTCAGACGAACTGTCTTTTGACGTAGAAAATTTTGTGGTGTAATATACTTAGAGTTAAGTCATAAAAACTGTATCTCAGCAAAAATATGCATATAAATATCAGCACACGATATTGATTACTAGCAAATGATTCACCTATGAATCTATTAAGTCCTTCAGGAGGTCATTTGGGGTCTGGATATCTCATCAGTAACGTCATTGACTGTGGAACTGGCTGAAGCTGACACGAATCTTCGAGGGAACATCAGTTTCTTCTGCCTTGTAAATGCACCTTGTTGATATGCGCCAACAAACGCGAAACCTAAGTCAAGAGCTCCTTACAGATAACCTCCAACTACCTAATACCAAATAAGGTCTTAGTAACCTGAAACAAAATTATACTGGATTTCGGATGCAATTTTTCAATTGAAGAAGCTATAGTCCAAAAGTGTTGGTTTTAAAATCGTGTAAAAATAACCTTATAAATCAAAGCACTGATTAATAGACGAATAATGTGCTGTAGGATTACTCCTTCAAGTTCTACAGCTGTATGTCCATTTAGCTGGAGAATAATTGTTGTTAATACAATTTGTGTTTTTACAACATCAAGTGGTAAAGATCACAGGTCAAATAAGCTTCACACTGGGAAAGTTTATGAATCCTGCTTCTGTATACTGCCAAAAGTTTATAAACTAATAAGGTAAAAACCGAAAAAGCTTCTTAACTAAACTTGCAACTATTAAGACTCAAGATTTATTCTAAATATTTACGTAGTTCTGTTAACTGTTTCCCTTACTTAGTTTATGTTGAACATTCTGTCCGGAAAACAAAAATCACAATGTACGCTGCCATTATCCACTGAAAATTGTTTATTTTTTATGCCTTTAGCATGTCAGGGTTATTCTATACAATACTATAGTGGTAATAATAAAAGCACTTGATAAAGTTTCATATATTTTTATATACTTTTTTCCTTAAGCTATTTGGAACGAGCCTAGAGGATGACATAATTAAATCTACAAGTGGAAATCAACGAGAATTGTATTTAGCCCTGCGTAAGTTTAAGCATTTATTGGAATATCATATTCACAGCTAACGCTTTAATGTAGAACCTCATTTACCCCCACATAGGCGTTTTCTGAATGCAACTCAATTTCATCTATGACAAAACTTTAATTGTATACATGATATTGTCTAATAACGAAATCAGGGATGTGTCTTACTATATTTCAGACTCATCATATCTCAGTAGGTTTTGTTCTTCTCTCTGAGCCCACTAGAAAGCTGTGTGACTTTTGAAATAGTAGGCATCAGATTCGTCCTAAAAGTAATCCCAGTGTTTACCAGAATGAAGTCATACCCACATGACTAATGTAATTAATATCAATATTTATTCATTACGTTCCAAACAGGCTATGGGGCTTCAGCAGTACACCTCCATTGTATTCTGTTCTTTGTCGTATCTTTTGATTGGTTTCAAGCCTACCCAAAATCTTTCACTTCCTACTGACATGGTCTTCCTAATGTCATCCTCGGAGGCACAACCTGTCGCTTCCCTCTTAGTTTTCGCTCAGCGGCCTGGCGTGTGATGTTACTTAAAGGTCTTCTCAAACCCATTTCCATCTTCTTCTGAATTTTTTCTTGAAAATGGTTTTTTATTGGGCTTGTTACCAGAGTTCCTTGTCAGTTACCCTTCCCGATTGGCTATCCCATCTTCAATATCGAGTGGACGAAGTAATTGTTGATAAAAGTCTGTAGTCCGTTGAAAATGCCTACAGTGACACCCGCGCCAAGTTGATGACTTATGTAAAAGCACTGACTGACTTAACATTAATGTTTAAAATTCAGATCTTGTCTCTTGTACCCAATACAGTAGATCTTCACAATGATTCCAGGGTTATGAATGCCTATCTTAGATCCCCGATCCTAGAAAGACAAATGTCAACTAGATCGAAACTAACATACGTCAACAGAGGTGACTTTTTTCGTAACTTCTTTTCAAAGATTTACATACATAGTGTTCTCCAACAAATGTCGGAGGTTACTGTCAGTCAGTAACAAAAGTAAACCAAAGTGTTAAAGAAACAGAGATGTTAGTAGAATGGTGACTGAAGGTGATCGATAGGAAACAAAACCACAAAGAAGTTTAAAGTGGGTTGGAGAATAATTACATAGGCTTTACTATGCAGAAAATTGATAAAATAAAACTCACACTAAGACTACAGCAGAAAAAGAGGCTAGATACAAAGTGTCTTAATGAAAAATTCTGGCTTTTCCGTAGAGATGATGGAAGCTTTGGTCACACGAAGTAAATGTGAGCAAAATCATTTTGCAGGGTTCTTACTTTTTACATGACTCTGAATGATATCTCTGCTAATGCTGCACTACAAGAAGTAATAATATTCTCAATCAGTGAAGTATTGACCGTCCTACGTTCTTTTATAGACAACCAAGACGGTGCGTGTTCATGAGAGCAATTAGACAATGTCCCGCTGGTAGAGTCTATGAACTTTAATTTACAATAAAGTTACCAACAGTCGGCTTATGAATTTGACACTTTGGTGAACAAGAATATGGGTAGAGAAGGTGAGGCGTAGAGATGCGGCAAAGAACATTTATCAGACTGTTCTCCACAAGTAATTTCAGAGGACTTCATCAACTGTATACCACTTGAATTTTAAATCTATAATTAATTGTTCTTTCAACACATCAGGGCATCTTGAATTGTCGGCCGTTCTCTTTAAACTTTTGTTGGTGAAAGAGATTTAGTAACCGTTTTCAACAAGTGTTTCTGAAAGACTCCAAAATTATCGTCGTCAACCTCATTTCTGGTCCCCACAAAATATGTAATCAAATTTATGTAGCTTATGGAATGCAGTTCCAGTGGGAGACACATTTATCTGCAGTTTTCACTTCAAAATTAATGTGATCAAGTGATGGCTATTTTACGATGAGAGCTTTACGTTTTACGACGGGACGGTTTTTAATAGTGTATATCTCCTTCCTGGTGTGTTACTTCTACTTTAAAACGCATAAAAAGAGTAAAGT